ATTAATTGAGTCACTATTAAAACATATAAATAATTGAGTTATGATGCAATTATTTTTGAGAATTTTGGGAATTGAGTGAATAGCAAAATAATTTACATCACATGTATGTATAGATTAGAGTCAGTTTGATTGTTATAAGATATAATTGTTAAGTTTTGTACTATTGCTGAGTTTGCATTGATAATTTGAAAAGTAGAACTGATTTTGATTTTTAATATAATGAAAAATTTTGTAGAATTTTAAGTAACACAGTATTATATATCATGAAAATAATTGAAAAGGTTTAGTTGAGACAAACAAAAGAACCAGTAATTTTACTTGAATATTATTTTAAAAACAGATTAACAATATTGAGAATTGATATAAAGATAGTTATTATAATTATTAAAAAGAAGAAAATATAAAGGAAGACAGTTATAGGCCTTTCCCTATATAACCAAAGAGTAAGCAAAACTCCCAAACTTGCTTAACCTTTGACGAAAGGTCTCATCCCAATATAACAGTGGTTCTTAAAGTTCTTATGTCCTTGAGCTTATGATATAGTTAATATATTAAAGAAAGAGAGAAATGCACTTCTTTTAAAAAAAATTACTATAAAAAAAAATTTTCAAGAAATCAATAATGAATAGGTAAAAGTTTTTTTTAAAAAGTTTTATTATTATTATTATTATTATTATTATGTAAATAAACATTATTTCTTTATTTTTATTTTTATTTTTATTTTTATTTTTTTTTTAAGGGGCCAAGTTGCGATATACGTATGTACTTTATTGTGAGATCACTTAAGATTACAATTGTCTATGCGTAAATAGTCTATTAACATATTGCTAATATTAACTCAAGCTACCCACTCCTTTTTACCAGAATACCAACTTTCACCAAGTAGGTGAGTCCATACCCTGGTTTATACTATAACTCCCTATTTGTAAATATAAGGTAAGGAAAATCCTGTCCAACAGTTGAAAAACCTTCCTAGCGGTCACCTTTTTTGGCTTATGACCTGACTCAATCACATCAATTGGGTCACCAATCCGGATTGTGCTAACATCAAATAGGGTAGTAAGGTCCAATTTGCATTATACAGAGTCTGCCGTGCCAATTTGGGGAAGTTGGCTGATTGGATACAACTTATTCAGGAAGCCATTCAACCTGAATAGAAGGTAATGCTACGAAGTCTGTCGTGCCAGTTAGGGTTGTGGGCTTATACCGGAGTTAGACCAGAAGTCTTGCCTCATGCAATCTTTCCTGCTTCGACCTGTTTTCAGCCCACGATCGTCAGAAAGACCAGAGGTCCCATCTTCATGCAGCCTAGCTTGATTTGGTAAGTGATTTTTGGCTGATTGGATACAACATGTATTGGAAGCTGGTCAACCAATCATGAAGGTGGTAAATTTTTTGTAACCAGGTGGGTTTGAACTCTAGACCTTCTCCTGGTAACCTATGGAGCATTACCACTATGCTATAGACCCATAGGATAAATATTATTTCTTTATTTATTTGTATAATAATAGATATACATTGTGAAAGAAACAACATCTCTTATATGTATTAGTAGAATGAATTAAATACTAGCTTGCTTACAATAACCACTAGACTAATATTGAAAAGAAATTTTTAAAACAATATATCTTGTCAAACAGTTTCGAACAGCTATAATTACCTACTCAGCATTGGGTGAAAGGAAGTTAGAAAAATCTGAAATTAGTTTAGAGATATATTTAGTAAAGTTGAATCCACTTTGGATGTATGAGTCAGCTACAATAGTGAGTATATCTATAATACTTTACTGAAAGTGATCATTTTTTAACAATATAGTAGCAATATACAGTTCGCGCCACAAAAATCCGGAATTTTACAGACTATTTTTATATCTTTGTACGCGTCATATATAATTGATTTTCTTACAATTCCTGACTATTTTGGCTATAAATAGAACCATTGTAGCTATTTTAATCATTGTATTACTCATTTAATTAACAATTTATAACCAATGTCACCTCCCAATCCTCCCCGATCTACTTTTTCAATCCAACGTTCTACTGTAAAGAAACTTTGGAAAAATAATATACGAAAACCTACTGAAATAATCAAAATAACTGGTTATGCTAAGTCTACCGTGTACGATCTTGTTGCCCGACTAAAAAAAAAAGATTCTCTTGATTCCTTGCCCATTCCTGGCCGTCCCCTCTCTCTTAATCCCAAAATGCGTCGCTACCTTGGTCGTCTCTTAAAAATTAACAATGGAGCCAACTCATTTTCCTTAACAAACAAACTTAATAATTTATACCCTAATCTCAATACTTCCACCCGAACTGTTCAGCGCGTATTAAAAAAAAACCTTAAATACATTGTTTGCCAACCACAATGTATCCCTCTTCTTAAACCTGTTCACGTTACAACTCATCTTCAATGGGCCAATAACCATGCTCAAGATGATTGGTCTTCTGTTATTTTTTCGGACGAAAGTACATTCCAGATGTTTCGTAACACCCAACTGGTACGTTACAAGCAAGGAAGTCCACGTCCACAACGTCCAATGGTAAAACATTCTTATAAAGTGCATATTTGGGGCACGTTCTGTGCACGAGGGGCGATCAGATTTGTTTCGTTTACAGAAAACATGAATTTCACCAAATACTGTGAAATTCTTGAGTCCTATTTACTTCCTAACGCCTACCTTGCTGGTCGCAGATGGCATTATCAGCAAGATAATGTCCCGTCTCACACTTCAAAGATCATACATCAGTTTTTCGAATCACACCACATTCGTACGATCGATTGGCCCGCTAACTCTCCCGATTTGAATCCAATCGAGAACTTATGGGCCATTCTTAAAAAGAGGGTGGAAAAAAAGGTAGATATTTGGGTTAGGGAAAAAAAAACACTCAGTACAAGCAGTTTTCAAGAGATAATTAGGCAGGAATGGAGTAATATCGATCAAAATATTTTCTTTAATTTGGTGGCAAGCATGAAAACCCGACTCAATATGGTTATAGAGAAGCAAGGTTATAAGATAAACTACTAAAAAAGTTTAAATATAGTATACTCGCATTGTTAGTTATCTGTGATTTAAATTTAAGCAAAGTTTAATAAATTTTGGCTATTTTTAATAACTGGAATTAAATTCCGGATCTTTGTGGTGCGAACTGTATATATATATATATTTTTTTAATTAATTAATAAAGAAATGAAAATAAACTTTAAACACTTGTATCATTAGTATTCTAGTAAATATGAAAATACAGAAGTAAATGAAATATAATTGATCGGTTGAGAATCAAAACCCAAAAATTGACTATAGTAAGTTAATCTAATGCTATTATTGCTTAAGTTCTAATTACACTAGATTATAAATTAACATCCTATCCCATCTCTCTTTATTTCGCTTTTTTTTTTTTTTCACCATTTTCCTTTCCCCTCCTTGATCATGAGTACTATGAGTGATCATCACACACCATACGTACCGTGATCTTTACTCTTTTTTTTTTTTTTTTTTTTATCAGTATCAATAATGTGGTTGCATAACCAGACCACAGTCTTTACTAACACTCCATCGATTCTCTGTACTCTTTTAGTAGTCATCGATTTATTGACTTTTTCAACACTTTCCCGTTGATCATACGTAAATGATACACAGCATCCGATTCGATTTCATGTATGTAGAATGGGCCAATCCATTTCTGGTTCAACTTACTGCTCCGCGAATTCTTCTGGAACACTTTATATACTAATACTTTGTCCTCTATAGCGAAACTTCTTTCGATTCGGAGCTTCCGATCATGTCGGGTTTTTAACTTTTGCTGCGCTGTGTTTACGCGTACCATCATGTCCTTCCGTTGTTGCGGCAACATCTCCATCAAATCAAAGACCCGCTGTAGTATCGTCCCCTCTAATTGCTCGCTACTTTCCTGGTGATGAATCAGAGTTCACGCTTCCCTCCCGTAGACTAAATAGAATGGCGTCATCTTCATCATTCCTTGTCACGCCGTTCGATACGCAAACAGGGCGGATGGTATCATCAGATCCCATTCCACCACATTCTGTACTAGTTTTGCAATCGACTTGCACAACGTGCGGTTGAATCGCTCCACCAATCCGTTGATTTGCAGATGGTATGATGTAGAATAGAGGTGGTTGATGCAGAACTTTTTCAGAAATGCATTCAACATGCGACTCTGGAAGTTCACTCCTTGATCTGACAACAGGTACGTCGGACATTTGTATCTGCATACTATTTTGTCATACATGAACTCTGCCACCTTCTGTGCCGTTGCTTCCCCTAAGGCGCGAGCCTCAGGTCACTTGGTCATATAATCAGTGGCAACTACTATATAGCAATTCTTTCTGGGGGTCACAGGCAGAGGTCCTACTATGTCGATCCCCATCTTAGCGAACGGTTCTCCGATGGGTATAAGATGGAGGGGTCTCCACTACTTGTTCTTCCCCCTCCTCTGACAGCGGTCACAGGAGTGCATATACGTATGGATGTCTTCATATAGCTGCAGTCAATAATACAAATTTCAGATTTTATTGAACATAATGTCCTTCTCTAAGTGCCCTCCCAGCGGATGATTATGCATAAGGTATAATATTGGCCCCAACTCGTGACGTTGTAGCACCTTTAGTAGGTTCCCCGGTCAGTGCTTATCCTTCTTATAAACGTCTTTCTCCTTTACCGCGAAAAAACTACTCTGTGCCCGTATTCTCCAAGCTTGTTGCCGCAAGCATCCCGTCGGTAACCGTTGTTCTTGTAGGTATCTTTTCAGCTGTATGTATCGTTCTTCGTCCATCACGTTTCTAGATTTTTTTTTTTTTTTTTCTAGCCAGGACACCGGAACTTGAACTGGATTCTGTTCCTCAGATTTTTCGTTTCGTTTCATTTTTTTTTTTTTTTTTTTTGATGTCGTGTCAATTGCCGTCACGTATTGCTATTGTCGTTGTCGTTTCGTTGTTTTATTATCGCTGTCGCTTTTCGTCTCGTAGTGGTTGCCATCAGATTCTACGATGGTGGTTGAGCGAATCAAGATTAGTGGCACCCTCCACGTCATTCTGATAAGTTAAGTCCTCGTTCAGCGGTCCAGATAAGTCAAACTCTTCATCTCGACTTCCTGCCTCCCCGCCGGTGGTGCTACTTTCCCATTTCTCCTGGACGGTTAAACAAGATAACGCATCAGTATTTGAATGTTTCCATCCCGAGTGGTGGACTATTGTATAGCAGTACGGCTGAAGACGAAGGATCCATCGCGCTCTTCTATCCTTTAGCTTGGAAGTTTCCAGCCACTTGAGCGCAGAGTGGTCAGTTATCACCACAAATGGTTTCGTGCCGAGATAATGGTAGAAATACTCAATTTCTTATATCATGGCTAGACACTCCTGCTCCATCACAGCATAGTTCCTTTCGGCCTTCATCAAACTTCTACTGGCGTATACGATTGCATACTTCCTTCTTGCATCATTGATTTACGTCAACACAGCCCCTAACCCCATTCTGGATGCATCGGTGTGCAGGTAAAATGTCTTTTCAAAATTCGGATATCGGAGAATTGGGTCGATCGTCAGGTGGGTCTTCAATTGTTCAAATGCTAATTGTTGCTTATCTGTTTACTCATACCATGTATTCTTTTTGAGTAATTGATGCAACGGTTTGGCTATCATCACGAATCCACTAATAAACCTTCGATAGTAGGAGGCAAGTCCAATAAAACTTCGTAGTTGCCTCACATTCCCTGGTGCTGGAAAGTCTCTTACCTTCACTATCTTGTCCTCGTCTGGCCAAATGCCATCTTTTCCTACGACATGGCCTAGAAATCCTACATTCAGTAAGAAAAACTTACATTTTCCATGTTCAACCTCAATGAGGCCTGTCGTAGCTCTCTAAAAACACAGGCCAGATGACTAGTGTGTTCCGGAAACGTCCGCGAGTACATGATGATGTCATCGAGGTATACGGCCATGAATTTGCCAATGTGATCGTAGAGTACCTTGTTCATCAGTCTCTGGAATGTAGCCGGAGCATTGCATAGCCCGAACAGCATCACTTGGAATTCGTATGTTCCAAACTTCATCACGAAAGCTGTCTTCTCGCGGTCTCTCTCCTGGACTCGCACTTGCCAGTACCCACTAGCGAAGTCGAGGTTTGAGAACCACTTCGCCTGCTCAAGGGTTTCGATTAAATCGTCGATTCTGGATAAGGGGTGCATGTTCTTTTTGGTTACCGCATTTAACTTTCGATAATCCACACATAGGTGGCACCTACTATTTTTTTTCGGCACCATTATGATTGATGATGCTCAGGGCTCTGTGATTCTAGTATCAGGCCCTGATCTCTTATTTTCGTCAGCTCCTCTTTACATATTCATGCTCATCCGGGGCCAACCTATAGGGCACTTGCTTGATCGGTTTTGCGTTGCCTGTATCAATCTTATGTTGGATCATGTCGGTTTGGGTAAGTTCATTTAGCTCTTCGGCAAATAATCCTTTTTTTCTCTTGAAAAGTTTTACTGCGTCTTCTCGTTCCTTTTCTGTCAAGCCAATCAGGTCCATCCTCGGTTTCTCGTCCTCATATTCCTCGTCGTCTTCCAACGTTGATATCTCCTCTAGGATAGTCAGATATACCGCTGGGCTCGGAATCCTTTTGTCTATTGTTTCTTCCTTTTCGGACCGTTCTCCTGTATAATACCCTTCCTCCTCTTCTACGTCCTCGCTCTCATACTCCAACTCGTCGAAGGTATCTTCATTCTTGTCATCACTTACTTCCAATTCGTCGGGCCGCGCCAACCCCTCTATGTCGTTGTGTGAGATCGGTACCTCCAGTTCTTCCCCTCGATATCTCAACAGTATTTTTCATTCGTCGAAATGGATCCTGGTATTCCCTCTTTGAAACCAGTCAGTTCCAAGTAATAACGTCTCATTTCTGAACTCTATGACCCTTAGCGTCACGGGAATGGTTACTCCTTGCACCATTATACTTACCTCTTTTACTTTTCCTAGGGTCCTCTCCCTTGTCTCATTCGCAATGACGACGACGGAGGTCGACTTCTCGTTGATCTTCAGCTGAAGTTTGTCCAACAATTTCTTCGTAATGATACTTACCGCTGCCTCTGTGTCTAGGGTAGCTATTACCGTCTGGTTTCCGATCTGCACATAGCATTTAGCTGCGGTCGTTTTAAGAGTATCTATTGAGTTCACTTGGTTTGGTTCCACTAGGGGTTTTGCCCGTTTCAATATTTTTGAAAGGTTGCGCCACTGGTCAGTGTACTTCAGTAGTTGCCCGTAAGTTGCATTTGCTTTCATGGATAGAATGTCCTCTGAGATGTCATACGGATCTAGCGAATTAATCACTGATGGTAACCTTTTTTGTCGCGGCTTCTTAGTGGCTTCCATTGCTTTGGGGGGCTCCACAATCACCATTGGCTCCTGCGTTCTTATATATTTTGGTGCTTTTTGCGACTTATCTATGCTTTCCTCCTCCGGGCATCTCGGTCGGCCCCTTTTTTTCACTATTGGCATGATGGCCCTCAGGGTGTATGCTTCCTCTTCTTCTTCTTCGTATTCTTCCTCGACCTCTTTCTTGTAACAATATTGCACCTGCGGGGTCACAGTCTTTGGAGGTTCTTTAAATACTTTTTCTTCGGGCATCATCGAATTATATGGCCCTCTTTTCCGCAGCTGTAACAAACTAAGCTCTTCCTCTCTTTGTTTTTCCACTCTTGTGATGGTTTCCTCCTCAGATTTGAGTGGCTTAAAGTAAGCTCTTTAATTTGTCTTTCGAGCTTCTTTATATTAGCTTCTAGTTGTTTTGTTGTACCCTTTGCTCTTACTCAGGTTTGTCATTCGTAATAGTTTCCCGCTTCCACTCTCCGTGCCGCTGTGATGGCCTCTGCTAAGTCCTTTGGCGATATCATGATCACGAATATAGCAGTGTTACCCTTCAGACCGTTTAGAAACATGCTTACGACATAATCATCCAGAATCGTTCCTTTCGGGTTTACCCTGGTAAGCAAGCATTTAAACTTCGTCGCGTACCCATTCACTTTCTCATCACTGTGTTGGCTTAATTCATTCAACTCTATTTGCCACCTATGCTGCTTATCTGACGTGGCGAAATGCTCTATGAGTGCATACCAGAAATTCTGTGTCACATCCGTATTGTCTTTCCATGCGGTAATTCCGGCTTTGTTTTCTTTGTATCAGTCAGTCGCTAGGCCTATCATATATCCCGGAGCCACCCTAAGCTTTTTCTCGTCTTTCCAGTCATTAATCTCTGCTACTCTTTTGAACTCCTCCAGCTATTCTACCGAATTGTCGTCTTCTTCTCCAGCAAACGTCCTTGCCCTTGCTGGATCTGTTCCTCGTGTTCTATTCGACTTGTTAACTATATCGTCCAGAGACCAAAATACACCTTGCATCAACTGTTGAAACTGATTATCATTCATTTTCTCAAAAGAGGCGTGTGAATTTGGCCAGAGTCTGGTAACGCCAATGCAGATCAGTTCGTTGGTCTGCGTTCTATCAAGTTACTTCACGTGCAGTAATTCCTTTTACTACACTACACTGGGAATATTTTCACCAAACCAAACTTTATCAAGAAAGACAATCTTTATTACGCGAGTAGAACTTTTTACAAGATCTGATCTTCCTCTTTCTATTTATATACATTTTATATATTATATATATTATATTTA